TTTCATTTAATTTTCCCATATTTAAAAGCAAGAATCTTAATATATTCCTCTCCCTTCTCTTGAGTGCCGGCTAGAAAATCATCCTAGATTCCAATTCCAATATCTCTATTCTGAATTGAAAATCAAGAATTTATAAAAGTCCCGATTCTTTTATGGAGTAAGCTTCACAGATTCTACACTTTCTCTCGAAACCCATAAAACCTATGTTGTGTTCGCTTCTAAGGGAATTGTGTGGGGGCGCAATTCTTGTGAACTCTCACAGAACCAGGCGTATGTTCATGGCCAAAGCGAACATAATAATGAGAACTGAAATGTGTTAGGAAGAATCATGTGTGAAGTGTATCATCGTTTACATAAACGGTAGAACAATTCAAAAACATCGCGTCTACTGGTCAGCCAGTGAAGTAAATATGTTTTCACAAGCGAAGGTTCAAAGGACAACACCTACCTATCGTATGTAGGTTTCAACTGTTGAACTATATCACCAAGTCATCATGTGTCACATTCACAAGTCATCATGTGTCACATGCATGAGTCGCTCTCAATTTTTATTCATGTAGGGGATTGTCGAAAAAATTGGTCCACTTTGGCACGAGTTTTGAGTGGGACCCAGTTGTTCAATTTGGAAGATGAAAGTTGATTTGTGTTCTCCTCCGTGAGTACATCGAAATCATATACTTACTTGCCAAAGTTGATGCTCGGGTGAATGAGAAATTGAGGCTCAAAGTGTGCCACTCAAAAGGGAGTTTATGTGGGAAAAATGAATTTGTCCCACATAGGAAAAAGATGAGGAACTCCAAAGGTCATTATCATTAATGGTAGCCTAGCCTATAAATAGTGGCTCATTTTCCTCATTTCAACACACAAAAAAGCAAAAGCTTTCAAGTTTAGAATACACTAGAAATTCATTTGCATAGAGTTCTCTCTTGGTGGTGGTGTAGTTCAGGCACTAGTTTAGTTCAGGCACTAGTTCAGTTCGCCGGAGTGGTTTCTGCGGTGCTCGGAAGCTACTGATTTTACCGTTGTATCCTGGGAAATGGACGCTCGTTTTAAACCTCAAGCACGGACGGTGAGGGGGCGAATCTGTTTTAAGGAAACTGTGTGTAACACAGGCCTCGGGTTAAAATTCTATGTTTCAGTTGTTTAATTCATGCAATTCTTCGTATTAAATTTACAATCCATGCTTCATGAATTTATGATATATTGTTCGTATGCTTCATGCATTTAAATTCTATTGGAACAAAAGTTATTTGTTGGAAATAAAACTTTCAATGATTTGGTAAAAATTCGATATACGATTGTTTAAATTTTGTTGATTTGCATAGTTGCAAAATTGAAAGGCTTTGTCAAAAAGACCTAAACTGTCTAAGAAGAGCTTGGGATTTAAGCGGTCCTGTTGTGACCCCCCTCCTCATCTGGGAGTCTTTTAATTGCGCATTATATAAATTGACGAGACGAAAGACAACATTTCCCGATTTTATCCACATACACTGAATTTCCTGCAAGCACTTCTAAAATATTCTCCAAGATAGCAAAATCATGAAATTAATGACATAATATAATAAGTGTAAACCACTCATCAATGAACTTTTGATTCAATGAAATAAAAATCAACTTGTGAAATAATTTAAATAGTTAAGGAAATCAATTAGAATAATCCCTCCATTTACCCTTAAATCTAAACTGAACATTCAACGAATGCCATCATTTCTTGATATTTGCTTATTATGCAATGAATATATTAATTGAAATTATTTATTATAGATACGTATTATGTCACCATATTTACGTTCTCTGTATCTTAACATTCATTAAATAAATCAGTTAGAAGAAAACTCTAAAAATATTTATATTTTGTTCCAAATTTTGTTTAATGAATTTAATTTACTAACCAATCAAGTGGAACGAATCTGTCAAGTATATATTGATCGTCACTAAGTAATTGACAAATAATTCATGATAGATATTGTTTAGATGATTAAATAAGTTAAATACATATTAAAAATAAGGTAATGAATGTGTCAAATCTATATTCACCATAACTAAATAGTTGACAGAATAATTAATGATAATATTGTTTAAAGGGTTCAAATGATTAATAAATTAAACCCTTGTTTGATTCCATTTATTGTACCTTAATTTATTTCTTATATTCATTTTCAACAACATATTTATATAATAAAACATTCTAAACATAAATCCAAAACTTTTTTCTACTTTTTAACCACACATTTTCCAAAAAATATTATTCAAAACGTAGGTTTTTTTTAATAAAGGCCACCAAACAAGGGCTAAATACATATAGAAAAACGAAAAGTAATGTATTATTGAAATAATTGAAATATAGTAAGGATAGGAACATCAAAAAAAAGATTTGCACTTGATGTGATATTTAATATATTATAGATATGTCCATATATAATTTTTTTATCAACAAATACGAACTACTCTTATTTAAATCATAATTTAATGTAAAGATAAATTAGAAAAATCGTTAGTAAAACCAATATAAAAAAATGGCATTATCTCACTTCACTAAAGTTAAATCAATCATAGCGTCTCAAGTTGATACATTGCCATTTTAAACTCAAACTAACTTTCTAAACTCACAAAATTTTTAAAGCAATGTCATATATATGCAATGGGGATGCCAAAAACAAATGTAGATGTGGATTAATGCGAGGACGTCTATTCAAATTACGATTTAAACAATGTGCAACTTGTTGCACGATATTTTGAGATCAATGCGATGTTCTTGCACCTTTACCAACATGTTTGTTCAATTATTCATTAATAACATATTTAGCCTTTGTTTGGTTCAACTAAAAGTTACATTAAAATTTAAGTTAAAAATTAACATTTAATTTTAGAATAATGCTATTTGCAGTAAAAATTACTGACAGTCGCCTTATGTGACGTATACTTAACAGTTTTTCATTTGATGTATAATTCAAAAAATAACTACCATATTTATGTATCAAATACTAAATTGTCAAGTGTATGCCATATAGGACGACTACTGACAGTCTTCACTACGAATAACATTACTCTTAATTTTATTGTTACATACTTCATGAAATTCACAACTTCTTTATTAAGTATTTTTTATCAAAATCTACTTAAATTTTGATTTTTATTTAAACCAAATGAGGGCTTATTTAAATGGATTAGACGGTTCAATGAGCAAAAAAGTTCGGACGAGTCTGTCAGACTGCCGCCTGACCATCCCAACCGGGTTAATCGGTCAAGAACGATCCTCTACTGCTCTAACGACTTCAAACTGGAGCCAGAGCTGTTAATCACGCTCTGATCAGGCGGGCATATGTCATCCACCAGACTTGGTTTCCTGTCTCCTTAGAACTCAAGGATACAGATGTACAACCTATAGAACAGATCCTGTTCAAGTAAGGTCGTGAGCATTAAGATTGAATTTCTACTATTTATAGCGGTTTAATTATTGCTAATCATCCGATGTGGGATTCGCTATTACCTTTGAAGCCATTNAGAAATCAGTGGACAAATAAGTATATTGCTACATAAGTTCGAGTTTTCCATTTTGGATTTATCTTCCTAAATTTGAAAAAAAATTCACTTCTTTGCTATGGCTAGCTCGATTATCGCTTTCCGTTCCTTCTTTATTAATCCATGTTTAAAACCTTATTATTCTTGCAAGAACCTTGAGACTCTGAAGCAAATCCATGCTTCCATTATAGTATCCAGTGGGCATGAATTACCCTTACAATTGATTCAAAGTTGGTATCTTTATATATTGAACTGAATGTTGTTGATAATTCTGTTTCTGTGTTAAGTGTTGGTATGAACCCGATGCTTTTGTTTGGAATTCAAGCATCAGAGCACATATAAATTATGAAAGACAAGGATGTTTCACATTGTAGTTATGTATGTTACCAATATTGAATGGAATGGTTATGTTACTTAAAAGTGGCAAAAGATTTGCATAAATGGTTTCATTGTCTGGCTGTTCAAATGAGTTTTGAATGTAGCTGGTTATTTTTGCGATACTTGAACAGTGGTGCTTTCATAATGCACTGGAGTTGTTTGGTAAAATGCCGTACATGGATTTGGTGTCTCGGACATAGATGATTAATGGGCATGTTGGTGGTGCTTATCGATTGCTTAGTGAAATGCGGAAAGTGGTGGGGATATGCTCAACTGTTCTGGAAGGGAGACATATTTATGATCATGTGATCAAAAGTTCTCGATTGATCAGTCAGTATGATAAATTCAATCTTGAATATGTATTCTCACGACGGTGGTGCTGATAAAGTACAAACTCTTTTTGAAGAAATCGGTAAACCAGATGATGTTTCTGGAATATAATGATATTGTATTTTTCGAAAGGAAAGGCTTTGAAACCAAGCATTGAGGCGTTAACTTTGCTTGTTTCGGGGTTGCCAGGGGTTGGAAACCTCAGTCAAGCAAGTACATTGTCTTTCAATACAGAATGGACTCTGCGATGATATTTCGAGGATGAGTTTGTTGGATGTGGAGGCGGCATCAGCTCAGTTATTCATAGAAGTCCCTTAAAGAAACTGTATCACTTGGTGTGCTCTAATGCTGGGGTTGGTGAAAATGGGCACTTTCAAAGAGGGGACTGATTTGTTTCATCAAATGCTAGCTGCAGGCATTCAACCTGTGGCTGTAAACCTGCGAAGCCTTCTTCCTCCTTTTTTTCCTCACTTAGGAGCCGTGTGAGATAAAGTCTCATGCACGGTTTTGAATGAAAGAAGCGAGGAATCCCCTTTTCGTTTCACATGCACAATTGGTGTTCTGAGGAATTCGTGATGGAATATTTAGGTGCAATTTATTTTATGTACAATGTCATTGTACCAGTTTATGTTCAGGGGTTTGCAAAATACTCGTCTACTTTGTCATAATTTACATTGGAAACGATTTTCTGATGGAGATTTTGAAACGCTACATGGCCTATATGTCCATACTTTTCTTGTGTAATTTGAGTCAAATGGGACATATACGTCTATCAAAGCTACGAATTAGTTCACAAAAAATTGAATAGCAGGCCATCCGTGCTTCAAAAAGGTCGACGAATCTGTACCCTTTCATCGACACACAACACTAAACAAATTAAATTCGACATTGGCATTTATCACAGATAATATACCAGAACGATACCATGTACAAGTTCCAGATTTAGGCGTTTTCTAGTAGAATTCTGCAGTTTCTACATTAATCAGTAGTTATCACTTCAATCAGCTTCAAGTTCAGCTCCAAACTTCTCTAATCTATCAGTCTCTTCATCCAAATCCCGTATCAAAGTATGGTTAATCAATCCATCGTCCTCACTAGCATGTATCTGCCTTCCACCAAACCTGCAAGAAAAGAAGAATTATCAAAGGTGCGTACCGAAAAAGGATTCCTAGACCCAACTCCTGTAAAAGATAGATTCTAAACATTTGTATGATCGTGCAATATACACCTGAAGGGAGCATGCATGGGAATAAAACCGTAGGTGTAAGGCAATCACTATTGGACATGAACTAGATTTTTTTCTTTTATTCCTTAATATTGTCCAGTAAGATCAATCCTCCCTACCAAACATGTTTGGTTGAAGAGTGAAAACGGGAATAGGAGAGGGGTCCAAGAGTGCTGATAACAAGCTTGTTCTAGATGGAAAAAAAATCCAGGACATACTCATATCCTTAACAATTTGGAACCGATTAGGGCAAAAAATTCCATATCATCGCAATATTTTCATATCCGATTCTAGATGGCTCCTTATTTAAGCTAGGGACATTTACAAAATACTTCACGTATATCAAGTATACTGTATATTCATGTTTAAATTCTACTCTCTGCTAAATGGTAACAAAAAAAGGCCCTTGAGCAAAGAAAGTTGAGATTCTGCCACATTATAAGTGGATAAACATACCCAAGTACCCCTAATTGAAATAACAAATCACACTATCTACATTACATTATGTAACACTTCACATACCATCACACTTTTCAAATTTTTTATTACTATTTCTTTTTCATCCAAAAAATTATTTACCTTTTCATTTATCTTCTCCATGGTTTATGTCGCATCTCTTGACTACATTATTAACATAATTCGTACTCCACTCTCTTTTTCTTTTCTTACACAATCATACTTTTTTATTATTAACACATCTATATTTGTTCTCTCCTATGAGACTTCCTTGCAGAAAATAAAAGGACCATCCATAGCAGAAGCTTCCTTTCATAAATCTTTTAAAAGTTCTAAAATGATAAAACAAGCTTATTTGCCTTTCATTATAATCTCCTTATAATTTAAAGGTTCAAATCAAACTTTACCTTTAACGACACATTCGTAGGATCCACAACTACTACCCACCTATCCACCACTCATTTATATCACATTATAATTTCAGCAACTTATAAAGAAACCTAAACAAGATAGAGCTAATAAACCTTAAATGAATATGAAATTATTTTTAAACTGCAAAATAATAAGTAGTATAAAAATTTATTATACTTTAGCTATTCAACATTTAAACTTACTAATCAGGATATGACAAATAAGAATTTCCATCATCCACTTTACCATATTGAGACCATCTTTTAAAGAAAAAACATTTAATGGAACATCGTGCTTTCTAATAATAAAAATTTGAAGAATCATAAAATATGGTGTGATTTATTATTTTCAATTAGTTTATTTTTGTCCATTCAGCTATATAGAATTGCATATTTGTAAATCCTTCAATTTTTTTAGAAGGCATTTTTGTTATAACTCGGTAAAAAGTAGTATGTAAAATATTAACTTTCAAGACACAATATGTAGTGTACATCAATCCTGTATGCAGTGTGTACTTTCCCATTATATTCCTGTTTGTGTACGTGCTGAGTGGGGATGCTTATAAAACGATTCTCGGCCGGTCAAAATGTATCCATACACATGTATTGTTTATTCATGGCACCTCTAAATATTTTTTATCCTTTTCCTTCCAAAATTTGGTGTGGCTTAAACAAACATGAGAATAGGAATTCTACAGCTCCCCAATAAATACACCCACAGGGTGACATGTTGACATCCTTAGCTACTCTTCTTGTTTAAAGGAATACTTCCTGGATGGTAACAAGTCCTACTATATGTAGGCATGGGCTGTTAAATTCACAAGCATTCTGCAATTAAATCTCATGTTATTAATTTGGCTAATAGAAGAATCCACATTCTTTTGAATATCAATGCCATCATAGCTCTAAACTATTATTATGTTGACAAGTAATTCAAATGTTGTCAAATATCATGAATAATAATTCCAAAAGGTAATGAAAACCCTTGCAAAATAACAAGAATATAGACATTACCATCGTCCATTCATCAGCTCTATGCATTTAAGTGCATCATTTCTATCTTTAAATTTGACCAAGACAACCCCCTGTGGGTGATTCTCACAAACCTGCAAAAGACCAAGCCAAAACATGAACCAAAGTTGTGCATTATACAAGCAGAATTCTCATTCTACATGTATATAATTAATTTGGACTTCTGTATCATTGATTTGAAATTAGTTTAATTAGCATTAGTCAACCAATCAACAAGAACATGGCAATACTTTGATATAATCCACAGGCCCAAGCTTCCCACATTCGTCACGGACATCTTCCTCTAATTCAGAACACAAAGTTTCATTAGCCTGTTGACAATAAAAGAACGTCAATTGCTATCACAAGCTAGTATTAGTTACTTCAGCTAACAATGGAAAAGTTTTCTTCAACAAAATAATGATCAACAATAAGATGAGAAGCTACATAACATTGCAAGAAACATTGAAATGATCAAATCTCAAGAATTTTTAGAAAAGAATTAACCATAAGGGTTATTTTGAATCAACCAAATCATGAATCATGATTTAACAGTTAGAATAGCACAGCCGCATGCAGACACTTAAAAAGACGAGTTACCCTTAATTCTGCTGGGGCGAACATGTTACGAAGAATAACAGTAGCTGGAACCAACAACTTTGAGTCATCATGACCACCTATTTCATCACAAAAAGAGAATGAAAATTCAGAAAATTGTGGCATATTAATTGCTCTGTAAACATTAAGGCAACGCCAACAAAAATCTCAGAATCTGCTATATAAATTAAAACTAAGAACACCATAGGAGCATGAAGAACCATGATAATACTAGAACATAGTCATCATTAGCACAAGTGTCACAACAAAATGATAATGTTTTACTTCACCTTTTAGAGAATTGCACTAATGAAACCAAAAACAGAATGAACTCTTAAAACTCAAATCAATGTACCTATTTTTTCTTAATGAGGATAAAGTTTGACTCCCTACATAATAACAATTTAATATTTTGGTAAGAAAAGGACCCACCCCAGCCAAGCATCTTCCTTTCAACCTTCTGAAGTTTCTTCTTCTTATTCTTGTCCACTTGCTTGGATACGAATCTATCCCCTAGAAGTTAATTATCACCAAAAGAGAAGTTAAGCTGTGAAAGGTTCAATTCGTACAAGGAATCAAACATTAGCAATGGACTTAATATCCAGAAACAAATGGAGAAAATGAACAATGCATTCCACACATTACCTTTCTGCTCAAACTTAGCTTTTGTAACCGACATGGGGATCTTGCCACCAGGCCTTAGAGGAGCTCCATCAAGTATTTGGATGGCCAGGTCCACTGAAGGTTCCTGATACCCAGTACGACAACAACAATAATATTAATAATAACAACAAACAATAACACTAACAATAAGGACCTGAAATCCGCAATAACATCATCGAAGACAAAACAAAGGTGAAAACTGTTCAACGATACACGTTACTTCAAGCACATTGAACAAGAAGCATTACCTTCAGATATGTTACAAGTGCATCCCCCTTTTTCCTTCCAGTTTCTTTGTCAACATAAATCTTCACTCGAGGCTTTTTTGTTTCAGGATCCTAAATGTTTCAATCATAAAAAGCAAAAAGGTTAATCAATTCCCTCAGAAAAATACAACAATCTTTTCCTCTTGAAGAGTACAACATAGAACTCAACAAATACTATGAAAATAATTGCATATACATATAGACAATCTAATCTCACTAGGAGAAATAATCATCTCAGAGAACTGGTAGGCACCTACATGGATAACATTACCTTTGATGCTCTCAAAGGCCTTATGATCTTTAAACAAGAGTAGTTAAATCAACTCAAGATTAATACTTCACAAAGATCGTTTTAACAAATCCAGCATCACACCATAAATATATTCATGTAATGACCTAAATCTTTTCATAACTTACAGATCCAATAACATAAAATGGACAAACCTGCTAATCAATCATAGCACCTTGATCATAAAAAATTAATTATTTATTTATTTTTATTTTTTTAACCATTTTGTACTTCAAGCTACTTCCTTACTGGAGTAGTCAAGGAAATTGATTTCGACAAATGGTTGATAATAATTCTGGCCCATCAGACAGGTTAATTTATTTCGAAAATGTATACACAACAAGTGAAGTTCAATGTATAAATGTATACTCTAGTATAAATGAATGCATGTGATCTTGATGTTCAAAAAAAGAGAGTGCCCAAGTTTCCACAGCTCTTTGAGCCAAAATACCAAACTTTAGTCTCGTTCATGCTTTTTCAGAATTTTTTATCTAGCCAAAGGAAATTACGTCATGATTGAGACGAAATGGTTACCACACCTTCTGATCTGGCCAAAAGAAAGTATATACCCAATTGTCTAGGAAGAAGCAATTCTTGCAATAGGCCACGTATATTGGAGCCTCACAAACTATGTGATCAGAACCTACTTTATGTTCTAAAATAAAAACGCAACTTACACATGAAAAATAGCACATGGAAGAGAAGTAGAGGAAGAGGAAGTAACTTGCTGTCTCTGGTCTTCATATAAGATCATTTGGACTCTCAATTAATTACAGACTCTAACTCTGATAAAATTGATATGAATCAATCAGTTTCCTAAATTTAGCAACCAAGATGATTTAACCCTGCTTTTATGACGATGAAGATTAGAATTACATCCCTTTGTTTCGTCTTGAAAACTATGTTTTGGAGTGAAACTTTGCTCAAACTGGCGGAGAAAATGTCTGGGGAAAGTATTAGCATATCTTGTTTAGTGTATAGCTAATTGCATTCCATCTGTGTCCCAATCCTATGTAAAACGTCTTCAATGATGTGAATCTAATTTATCCCATAGTTAGATGAAAAGTGAAAAACAGAACTCAAAATTTTTAAAAGAAACAATGCAGAGGTAGACAAAAAACTAATGTGACTGAATAAATGCTCAATGACTGGGAACTTATTCTTAATTTCAAAGATAATTGTGCTTGGTGCATGCCGTTGCACAGTCACATGATGTTTTGGATCAATCAATTATTAAATTTTAATTTGACTGACAAAAAAAAAAAAATTTGCTTACATCTTTTATGATCCCGCACTTGGAAAATGCTTCAACAACCTGTACAATATTCTACATCAATCTCTATATTGAATATATAGAAAAATTGGGGGAAAAACTCTTTAGGGCAAATAAAAGTGCAAACTTCAGTGACCATTACACTAATGCGCTTATAAAGCTAACCAAGAAAACCAAGGAGAGATGAGCAAATGAACTGTAAAAATAATATCACAACTAACCTCGTCATAGGTAACATCGTCAGGCAACCCTGTAACGTATACATGTGTATTTACTTTCAACTCAAACCAAGAATCAGGAGGTTTATTAGCTTCCTGTAAAGGCATTAAGATCATAGTAAGATATTGCACAAAAGCAAGATTATAAAATCATATAGAATACATGCCCATCGGATCATCAATGTCTTGAAATGATGTCCATAAATGAAAAATACTCAGAGAACAAAAGAATGCATTCTGAAAGAATGTTTTCAAGCTTTTCCTGTTAGAAAATATTTCGTGGTCTCTCAGGTTCCTCATCCACACCAAAGTCGGGTCTTATAGGATATAAACTCATTAATCAAAAAATTGATATAACGGTCAAAACGCTGCATTTTCAAAGGCCTCCATCAGCATCAACCCACTCCAAACTTTGCTATCTCCAACAGCATATTTCCACCTTACACAACCTTCTCTAGAGCTTTGCACACCCAAAAATGTTAACAAAAAAATGTATTGGGACAGAATGTTCTCAAAAATTCTTCTCTATTTGAAATAAATTGTATTGCACATAGGATCAGATCTTACACTATGAAACATCATTATTCTCAAGATTGACAGCACAGACAAATTGCTCCACCCCCAACAGCTTCCATCAAACCCAACAACCTTAGCAGCCAACAATGTCCTCCTTAGCCACCTTCAATAACAGATTCACCCTTCCCCCACATCCCAAGGCCATCACAGAACTTTGGGGCCCCCAATAGCCACCCAAGCCATGCTTTTCTACTCCTAACAGGCTAACAGGCAATTATCCCTACACCCAATTGCTTCCACTACCCCCAGCAGCCCGTCATACCATTTGTCCCCACTTCGTGCAGCCATTCTCATAACCCATCTCCTCCTCTTCAATCCTGGCCCTTCCACCTCCATACAAATTGAAAACCACATTCTTTTTTTTTTTTTTTTTTAATTCAGAAGTAATTCAAAGTCAAAAAACTGTAACACAATAGCACATCATAAGAGGCCCAATAAACACAGGCGTGGAGGATGGATACATAATACACCTTACTCATTCTCATTATAAAGCTCAGTTTTATCATAGTAATTTAGGATGAATTAGGGTTCTTTTCTTTTCTTTTCTTTTTTTCTTCGTTTGGCAAATAAAACTATGTGATGGAGCAAAGCATGGTGGCAAAGAAGGGGTTTAGGTTTGCTTGCTAAAACTGTCTATAGAATGACGAAGATCACTTGGTAGATTGTCACGTAAATGACATTATCTCTCATGTGTTGCAGTTAAGTGAGTAATCTTAGCTCAAGAGTCTGAAGAAGTTCAATCGTTATTTATCATTTGTGGCACCACTTAAGACCTCGTTTTAAGGAAATAGAAGATGGAAAAGGCAAGAAAAAAGTTTATACAGTTGTCCTGCGGAACTTCAGAAAAAACAACAAAATCTAAATACTAAAATGCTTCTAAACAGGACCATTAAATCTGCAAAATGATTATAATCATGAAAATGAACGGTTGAGCATAATATCTGATGTGGTTGAGTGGAGATAGTAGCAAAAGGTGTAAACATGTAATATATTTATTAGACCAATCCTTTCCTATATCCAAGGAGATAAACAAATGAACAGTTGAACGCATTAGTAAAAATATATGATGGTGTCGAGTGGAGATAGTAGCAAAAGGCGTAATCGTGTAATCTATTTATTAGATCAATCCTTTACTATATCCAAGGAGATAAGAACAATATGCATAAGACCAAAATCTGAAAGGAGAACCTTCTTTTCCTCAGTTATCATATCAGCAGTTTTTTCAGGCAACTTTCTCTTGCCATTCTGCTTTGCTTCTCCTGCTTCACTGGCAACATTATCCACTTCCTTTGCTGATAGATCATCAGCATTTGTTGGAAAGACCTCCTCTTCTAGCTGAAAAGTCATATCTTCTGGAGCATATTCCTCAGTTGTCTGGGTTGTGTTTTCCTATCATGAATAACCAACAGGAACTCACATTGAAGAAAAAGCTAGAGTAAAATGAAGATGCAGAGCTTTATTATGCAACTTCTGAGGAAGATCACAAAAAATGATAACATTGCAAAGACCAAGGTGGAAAATGAACAAGTTTTCATGAGAAGAAAAAAAAAATTTTGGTAAGTAATCATTTCATTTTATTAATAAATAGGATAATACATGAAGGGCGTATTATCAAAATAAACAAAAAAGAAAAGACATGAAGTTAGGCAGCCCTTCTATGCAATTAATGGCCGTGGCATTAAACCAAGTATACAAAATCATATAAAACAATTCTCTAAACTGCTCTATTATTCTTGTTTGGTCTTCTAAACAGCGGTTCCGTTTTCTTCAGACACACCATACAATGCATCCCGGAATAAGACTCTACACAAGCCTCCTATCCTTGTCTTGAAATTTTCTCTTTCATGCCCGCAACACGTCTTCTATGTGCCTTGGCACCAATCCAAATGTTGGGAAGCCAAAATACTGTTTCACAGCCACCGAACACCATCACAATGGATAAACAAATGGCCAATTGTTTCCCCATCTTTCTTACACATATAACACTACTTGGTAACACAGAAGTCTTTTCTTCGAAAATTGTCCACCGTTAACGCCTGCCCCTTTACAACCATCCAAAATAAGAAAGTCACCCGTGGAGGCAGTTTACATTGTCACACCATCTTCCAGGGAAAAGGACTCTTCACCGGGCTGAATCTGGATCTAAAATATGTGCGAACTGAAAAAATATCATCCCATGCCAACCTCCACCTGCTATGATCACCCTCTCCTACTTGAATATGCACCTCGTGCAAGAAAGTCAAAAGCAATGCATAATCATCAAATTTCCAATCTTGTAGTCCCCTCTCAAAAGCAATAATCAGGCTATAACTTCCATTACGTAGGCTATTTCATCATTCACCATGGTGGACGATTCCAAGGCAATGCGATGCAAGGAAGGAAACCGTGCCTTTAGCGGATGATCTCCACACCATCAATCATCCCAAAATTTGATACTATTGCCATTCCCTACCACATAAGTAAACTTATCTCGAAATTCATTCCATTCTCGTCGGATATACTTCCATCCCGACACCGCTTCAAAGCATAGAAGTAGTCGACGCAAGTTCCTAAATTGCTCATTATCTGCAATGCATAGAATCAGTGTATCATCTGCAAGTAGCAAATGGGAGACCTGTAAGTATCCAACCGTAAAGTCCCTTATCAAACCTTCTCCCATAGCTTTCTCAAGCATCCTTCTGAACGCCTCCGTAACAATCACAAACAGCAATGGAGACAAAGGATCCCCTTGCCTCAAACCTCTGCTGCTTCGAAAATAACCCTTCTGGGTGCTGTTGACCAAAACTGAGAACGAAACAGTAGAGATGCAAAATTGAATTCACTTAAACCACTTTTCCCGAAAGCCACGTTTCCTAAGCATGTACATAGGGAACCCCCGGTTCACGTGATCATAGGCCTTCTGAATATCGAGCTTGCATAACATCCCTGGCACCCCCAAACGTAATCTAAAGTCAACGCATTCATTCGCTATAAGCACAGAATCCAAAATATGCCTTCCTTTTACAAAAGGATTCTGACACTTAGTCACCACTTTCCCCAGCACCTCCTTCAATCTTTTCGCCAATATCTTCGCAATAATCTTGTATGTCCCGCTAACCAAGCTAATAGGGCGAAAATCCTTAATGTCAACTGCTCTCGATTTCTTGAGGATCAACACAATGTAATATTAGAACTTCTCAAAAACTTGTCGTACTCAAAAAAAATAATTCAGAACATCTATAATGTCTGGCCGCACCACCTCCCAACATGCCTTATAAAATGCGAACAAAAAGCCATCTAGTCCTGGTGCCTTATCATCATTCATGCTGAAAACCACCTCCTTGATTTCATCTTCCCCAAATGGTCTCTCTAACCAACTGGCATCCTCCTCCATGATAGAAGAAAAGTCCAATCCATCCACCTTTGGCCTCTAGTCAAACTGTTCCCGATAGATATTTTGATAGAATCTCACCATTTGATTCCCTATATCCTGTAGGTCCTCGTAAGTATCCCCATCGACCTTTAACGAAGTGATAAGAGTTGTTGCGTCTGTTAGAATTAGCGACTCTATGGAAAAATTTGGTGCATTTGTCCTCTTCTTTCAACCAAGTGACCCTAGATTTTTGGCGCCAAGCAATCTCCTCCATCTCTACCAATCTCTCCAACTCTCCCCTTAACACTTCACGACTCCCCCCTCCTCGCCAACCAACCCTTGACTTTCCTCCCGCCTATCCAACTCTTCTATTTCTAGAATGCATTGAGTTTTACGCCAATTAACATCTCCCACTACTTCCTCATTCCACCTCTTTAGATCCCTCTTCAGGGCTTTTAATTTTCGATTCAATACATAATTGGGAGACCCCCGAATTCCTAAGATGTCCACCAATCCCATACTCGCTCCCAAAGCCTTCTACTTTTAGCCATATCTTCTCAAATCTAAAAGACCTTTCTTCCACTACACCTCACATTCCCCGATAACAAAATAAGGAAATGATTAGAATACACCCTCCCCAGTCTCCCAATCTCCTCTGAGTGACCTCTGGATATTTGGCCTCCCATTCCCCACTAATCAAAAAGCAATCTATTTGAGATAAAACAGGCTCATCCCAATTAGATGACCAAGTGAAGTCTCCTCCTATCAAAGGCATGTCTATCAACATATTTTCCCAAATAAAATCTGAAAAATCCTCCATTGCCCTTGTTAATCTCCCGCCGCTAGACTTCTCAGTAGGAAATCGAACCACATTAAAACCTCTCCCAATGCATATTGGAATGTTCCACCAAGTCATCATCCCAGCTAACTCATCCACAATCCACCTCTACTCTCATCAGCATTCGGCCCGTAAACTCCTATAAACATCCAATGAAATCCATCCCCAATATTTCTGAACGAAAGCAATAAGGAAAATAGCCTTTCACTGACCTCCTCCACATTAAGAACTCTAGTGTCCCACATGACTTAACACCTCCTGAAGCCCCCGATGACCCCATATATTGATACCCGACATGCTATCCCCGGATGCAATGGAATATTATCATTACTCCAAAAAAAAGCCATCTCATGAGTATACGTGACCCCACTACCTGTATAAAGCGTACATCTCTGCTCAGGGTGTAGGTCAAAGCTTTTTATAAGAAAAGTCAAAAGCTGGAATCCGAGAAGAAAAGACCCCCTAAGAGCTTCTTGTATACCAATTATTCGATATGGAAATCCCAGCAAGGCTGCCGGAGACATCACTAAACCCAGGGGTGTCTCTTCCAAAGAAGAATTCGTAGAGATTTTCCCAAAAACCCCAGTCCAACCTACCCGACTGATATAATGACAAATTAACTCTCCGTCCTTATTAGTAGTAGGCAAATAGTGACCCTATTTGTATGTGAATTCACACGACGGGCACGTTCCAAGATCTCCCGCAACGAGAACCTAACATATGGTTTATTGATAGTAAGCTGATTAAATAAATGGATCATAGGTTGGTTGTTCGCCCTCGAGATGAACTCCAACTTAGTTTCTTGTAAGCAAACAAGATCCACCCTCCATCCCCTTAACAGGTTTCAAACACCTAACGTTTTTCCCGCTTCATTAAACCCCCTCACGTTCCAACTAATTATTTTTGGGATCATCTTGACGCTCTCTTATCTCTCCCAAGCAAACCTTTCTTTGGCTCGACACCCTTGTCATCATAATTTACTGACCATTCGAGCCATCCACGATCACTCTTTCTTCTTGATTTACCGCCTTGTATACTCATCCCTTGTCCCCTACTCGTCTACAAATCCTCAAATAACTGCAGAAGTCTACTTTCATATCCATCGCATGACACACCAACTTACTGAACTCCTGAATTTTTTGAAGGACCCAATTTGAAGATGAGGGCTCAACTTCAATTGCATTCACTTTCGTTGTTTCCTCTACATGCCGATACTCTAAAGGATCACGTGGATATCCCTCTATTTCCTCCACCTGCTTGATATCACTATCTATTCCTCCCTGCTTAGCACCATCTGCCCACAACACTATCGCTTTGTCAGTCTCTAATTCCTTTTCTTTTGGGGGCTTTGAATGCCTTCTATTATATGTGTTCCCTACCATGGTTCTCGGGCATGTTGCCTTGTTCTCTTTCAATATTGTAGAGCTTGATCCATCTGCCAATACAGGTCCCGTCCCCTGCTCTTGCTCAACTGATAATAGTCAATCAGTCGGCAGCATCATGTTCATCATTCCTCGTGACTCCAAATTTACCATATTCGACTCCCCTTCGTTAGGCCAAGATCCCACCTCCTGATATGCGCTTCAGGCCCCGAGTTATTATCCACCTTATCTTCAAGAGTCGAGCATTCTTCATCCACGCGCATCTCGCACTTGTAACGAAGCATCTTGGGATCTGCTACAGACCCACATCCAACAAGCCTAAGTAATTCATCCATCTCCCCTTTCAACGACTGGACACAAGCCCTTATTTCGACGTTATTCAATAAACCATCATCTGAACTTTCTGCACACGTTGCCTAGACTTAGGCAACATACTGTCACCTTTATCTTCACCCACGGTAACTACCTTCTCCTTTCTCATTAGCACCCTTCGACCAACATACCGCGAGGCCTGTATGTTTGCTATAACTTCAACATAGGTCACTTGCCAACTTCGTTCGTTCACCGTGCGACGTTTAGCCTTATCTCTAGCAACAACTATTGCCTGAAACACCCACGAGATCAATGCCCATCCTTCTCCATTCGCACCTTTTGGCACCATCACAACTCCCTTCCGATGCCTATTCCCATACTGCCCTATCGTCAAGTACCTACCACGACTGTTCACACATCGTTGTGCCAAGAAGGCTCTAGATGACTCATTGAACCTAGAGACGAAATGCTCCAACCTACTAGTCACCTTCAACTTGTCCACCATATTCACCATCCAAAGTTCGTCGAACCTTCCCATATAGATTGCGTTTGATATCTTCGAGCCCCACTCAGTCATCCTAACACCACCAAGATTGTTAACAGAAATTGCAAACTCCTTCGCTTCCACTCGAAAACGATGATTGAAGGCCACGCCGTATTCATCCACTAACTTCCTCGCCTGATGGTGTGTAAACGGCACATTTGACAACGGAACAGGCATCGTGAGTGATCTGGGAACATTCTGGCCATTTTCCTGATTTTTCGATGACGGCGTCTGACTGACACATGTTGCAGACGCGCCGCCTGCTTCTCGCGGTAAAGGCCCCCTCATCGGAATCACCTGCACAGCCAGCCGATCAGGCGCGTTCGCCAAGGTGATGGTCGGAGTTTGTTGAATCTGGGTTCAGATTCCAAGTTGGTACTTCTCTCTGACAATAGTTCCTTTTCTTCCACCAGTTACGTCGACGCTCAGTGTCACTGCTCCATCCGAATGTATCTTAATGTCGGTTGTGTCTCCAGTTAGGGCGGCGGTGCTAGGGTTTCCACCTAGGGCCGCTGCCTGATTGTGCAGCTTTGTATATGGCGTGAGTCAGGTGTTTAGGGGTTTGTCGGATGACATGATATTGCCGTCGTTGGCGTCTACAAGGGTCGGTGGTGGTTAAGGGGTTGGGTGTTGGGTTTGGATGTTATGGAAGGGAGTTCCATCAGGGCTTCCTCATGAGAAGAAAATAGCCTGACCAACTACTTGTAAAGAGTAGTGCTTCTGGAAGATGGCTAAAATGTGCATAAATGAAGTAACCTTTGTTCCAATGCTTCTGTAGGAAAAGAATTAACATGCAAAGTAACCCAAAAGCAAATGAACAATGTAATGTAAACTTTCGAGCACCAACCTGAGGAACCCAAGCTTTAAGATTTCGATCCCATTTGTAATTAGTTCCGTCATCATCAGTGAATTCTTCCTCTCCCTCAGGTGGTGTTGTAGGTCTTTCATTGTCATCATTTATGTTTGATAGAGCCTCTGCTTCTGCTTCCCTCACCTCCTTTTGCCACTTTTCAAAATCATCTTCTTCATTAGAGGCGATGGGGGCTGAGAGAAGTTTTTCCAAAAGAAATCGAATCTTCAGAAACATGTATTAAGGGTCATTATTAGTGAAATTATTTGGGAAAATGTAGCATCACCTGAACTTGAGTAATCAGCATCTTGTCCAGGTGCGTGAGTCAACAACCCGGGAACCGAGGATAGTGGCTGCCAGTCGCTACATCCTTCTGACCACACAAGTGTATTCCCGTAGAAGTATCCATTTGAATAATGCTCTGTCCAGATGAATTAAACAAGCTTAAGCTTATGTGATATTAAAAGCCACATAAGGCTATCCAAACATCATATAGGTGAACTGGTTGTCCCAAAACCAAGCCGATGGCTTACTTAGTAAGCTGAAATTCAATGAAATAACAAGAAGAAAAAAATCTGAGAACTAAAAGAAGAGCTAATCTGAAAAGAAAGTCAAAAACTGAAACTTAAACTACGTAATCCAATTACAAGCGACCAGAACTTTGAATATACAAATTATTTAGCATTATGATAATAATTTGCTATATGAATTACTTACCCTGCAACTCAGTAACGGTGTATGGGCCTATGAGTTGTTGATCTTGGCCAAGAACATACCAACCCATTCCAGTGCTCAAACCTGGATTTGCATTAGAACCGTTCAGGTCGCCTACAAATTCAGAAGAAAAAAAAAACCCTCATTTCCATTCTCTTAACCATTTCTCTAAAACAACAAACACACACACCAAGGTACATACGTATAGATACTATTGTGCATTAGCCCTGACACCATATATACGTATATGTGAGTGCATAATCATATATAAAAATTCTAAATTAGTAAACTGGTATAGTTTTAACAATCCTAACAAGTTGACCGCAAAAAACAAAAAAACAAAAAAAAAAAAAAATAGAGGCCAAATAAAAATTAAAATTGAAGTAAAACGATAGACTACCTGGCAGCGCCATAAAAAATCCGGGATTCTAATAAATTAATTCGAAATCGAAAATCAAACAAGGATTCTTTTAGCCAGTTATTTCTTTGTGCAGGAGCATTCACAGAAAATTGGGGGAAATTAAAGAGAATATTTTAATTCATATATTCTGACCTGCTACGGGGGATGGCTGTGGTTGCTGTTGAGACGACATCGTTTGTTCTTTCTTCTTCTAGTGCTTTCTGCTGCTTGCTCTGGAATAATGCAGGACAAATGGAAGAAAAATTGGGAAATTTTTGTGGGCTTATCTGGTCCGGTTGATTGGTTGGGCTTATGAGTGACAAGCCCAAGTTTTCATAAAGCCCAAAATTGGGACACAAAAAAAATAAGGACAGTAATTGATGTACATATAGGGTTCAACACCTCACATAAGTGGGGTGAGTGGGTGAATTTTTTGACATTATTTATTCATGTGGGGTCTACACTTTGTGAGGCATCTGTAAAATCTCTATAAGAAATTTTTCTGTTCTCCAAACATTTTCCATAGAATAATTAGTAGCGGTCTTACCACTCTCACTTTGCATGTTTATATTTCCACTGAAGTTTCTTTTATTGTGCAAATTTTTTAATTGCATTATCCTTTTTTAATCTTTATTACTTGTTATTGTACTTATACATTTACATTTTTCTTATTTTTATTCTTAATCTTTTATTAATTAACATATTTGATCTCTGATTATGATTGACATCTTAATATTCTGTTAACATATTTTGAAATAAGAGCAAACGTTAGTTCACACTTTGGTGTTTTTTTTTTTTTTTTAATTACTTAAGCCAAATGGTAGCAATTTTTCACTCAAAAAAATCAATTTTTTTATCGTTATTTCAATATTTCAACCGTCATTTTTTACTTCTTCACTCACATGTGTGACCCCACTTTTCTCTTTAACGGTCAAAAAATCAATTTTTATAATAACTACCGAACAGGACCTAAAAATATAGTATGCAAATCAATCTCTTTACGCTATCCCAGTACGCTTGTTGAAAGGAAATCGTCAGCAAAAATGAGCTGTGGTTAGTAATGGAAGGTTGAGAATCTGAATATTGTAAAAACTGGTTAGCAAAATAAGTGCAATAATTATCAAAAGTTGAAAACCTTAAATGCAATGAAAAAGAGAAAAAACAAAATAAAATTGGGATGGTAATATAACTGCCCTTTTCAATATTTGTGGGGTTTGGATCTGTTAACAAAGTTGAATTCAATGTCTTGCTAGAAATTTTTTTTTTTTTTTTTTAAATGACGCATAATAACCAACATAAAAAATTCATTAAAGGTTTAGCAAACACCAGTGGTGAATTTAATCCAATGAGAATCATCATAGCAACACCACAAGCTTTCTTAAATTGTAAACAAGCACAAGATTCTACTTACATTACTCGTAATGAGCTGATAAAGAAACAAAGATTGCAACAAGATATCGTCTCCTCACTCGAGTCGATTAACTCGAGACGAAGTGTCAGTGATATCTGATTGAAACTTACTTATCAAATAAACGAACAAGAAATATACCACTGGAACATTTTTAAACTCTTAACGCATTTCTTGACACAGACCAGATGGCCATCGACCGACCTTATATATTTGCTTATAAGAAGGCTGTAAGAAGAGTCCTCAAGTTCAGCGCAGCGTTCAAAGTTTGATTTCTCGACCAAAAATCCAGCTGAAGGGGGCGGATGATGCCTGCTTGACCTTCGATTGTGCCCGCTCCTCCAACCTTCGAATTCTAGGAGGCAAGCCACATATGTAATCTTGTGCTTTACGCCCCTCTCCAGAAAGACCAGTCAACTTCTCAACATCCCACCTTCCGACCAAAAATTCCAAAATATCAGCATAGTCCTTGGCAGTGTAGACTCCTAGCCGCTGTGCTACAGAAGAGAAGTTCTCGAAGAGATTATCGTCCTGGCCATCGTACATCAGATGAGCCGGCATAGAGATTTTCTTCCTCATCATGTCGGCAAGTGCCAATACAGTGCCATCTGGATCGATCTCGAAGAGCTTTTCGACGATTTTGGTATAGGCAGTTTCATGGCGCTTCTCATCCGCAGCAATGATACCACATATCTGAGCCAATTTCAGGTCCCCGTGTTCCTTGGCAAGCCTAGCCGTGTTTCCATGAGAAATGAAGGTAGCCCTCTCCTGGAAAGAAGTGTAGATAAATCCCAGGTAGGGATTGTTCTCCGTACGAGGATCCTATCAGTTATCACACGTAAGTTAAATTATAACACAGAATGGAATGGCGGGCATTGGGAAAGTAAGATGATTTGGCAGACGATAGAAAATAAAAAGGCGAAAAGAAAGATAAATTAAGTTAATATTAGTACATACCAAGAGAAGTCATATTCGCTTTACAAACAAAATGGGAAATACATGGGTATATATCAGAATGTGAAATTGAAGTACTTCTTATCAAACATGCACTAAATGGACAAGCATGCATGCACACACATAGGCGATTAAGTGAGAGGGAAAGAGGAGATAAACAGATTCAGGAACTGCTAATGTCACCGCTACTAAAAATTAAGTTAATATTAGTACATACCAAGAGAAGTCATATTCGCTTTACAAACAAAATGGGAAATACATGGGTATATATCAGAACGTGAAATTGAAGTACTTCTTATCAAACATGCACTAAATGGACAAGCATGCATGCACACACATAGGCGATTAAGTGAGAGGGAAAGAGGAGATAAACAGATTCAGGAACTGCTAATGTCACCGCTACTAAAAGTGAAATTTGATCTAATAAGCTTTAATTCTTCAAATTCATATAGATATAGTATGAAATATGTTAAGACACCAAGAAATTCAAGCAATAAGAGAGAGTTTGTATGGCATCCAGGGGTTTATTAAAAAATTTCAAAACCAATTAACTATGCCCTGTTTGGTATTGATTAAAATCAAGATTTTAATAAGTCAAATTCGAAATAATTTTTAGCCACATATTTAATAGGACCAACAACTTTTCAACCACACATTTCGTCAACTTTGATCAAAATTGACTAAAATTTTGCTTTTAATCTCCACCAAACAGGGCTAATATCTGAGATAACAGTAAACTTACCATCCCGGAGCCAATCAGGTATTGAATTGTCTTCTCAATTTGCTTCATGTCAACCCGTCCAGAGAGATAAAGATACTTGTTGAGAAGGTCACCATGCCTATTCTCTTCAGCTGTCCATGCTCGAGTCCAAATAGCCCATGGAGTAAGGCTAGCACCCGTCTCATCTCGGACTCCATCTAGGGTGTTAAGCATGGTCTGGTAAGTTGGAAGTGCTTCCTCTGTGATCATATCTCCAACCAACACAACGAAATAATCATCAGGAATTTCCTTGCATCTTTTCCGTAGCTCCATGACCTGCTCGTCAAAGCGTTCCGATGCCGGCTCGGGTAGAAAGTCACTGGGTTGCCAGGATTTCTCAACATCCTTTAGGAGCACCAAGATATTCTCTTCGGCCCAATTGTTCAGAGAATTAAAGATCTCGCGCTTTTCTGGTGCTAAGGAATGGGTCACTTGAACATGCGTCTCTCTTGGCGGTGTGAAAGGCTTTTTAACTTTTCCGACCTCCCTGTATTCAACAGAATGTGATGATAACATGACATTCCAAAAACAAAGAAATAAACTGCTCCATAAACTAAGAGTTCAATTTTTGCAAGGCACAAAGCAATAAATTTGCAAACAAGAGAGATAATTTCCTTGATTCATTAACCTACAATACTTCGGTTCATATAAATGTAAGTTAACTTTAACAAATCCAGGTACTGAAGTCTTAATTACTATAGAAGTTTTGTTCTCCACGATTTTGTCCAACACCGAGCACCATATAATTACGTGAATAGCAATAATTGAAGGACTCAAACTCTTAGGTGTCCAAAGATTAAAACCAACTTGCACTCAGAATTATTTTGGAACATTAGTTCACTGACGTTGTAGACGAAGCATTCGCCAGGTATCTAGACTACAATATTACGCATGAGTTCACCCAATTAATTCACAGTTTCAATTTAATAAAAGATAAAAATGAACATGTTCCAAATTTCAAGCACTTCAACTGGTGATGAGTCGCTGTCGTTTCTTTCTTTTCTTTACTTTTTTCCTCTCCCATCCTTTGCGAAGAGGAGGCATCAACATGAGGTAGGGCTAGAGTGTGGAGAAGAAAAAAATAATATAGGTAGAAAATTAGAAACGTGACAGAAAATGACACAAGGAACCAATCTAGGAAGAAACAGTACAAGACCACCAACCTCTTTAATACAGAAATAAAAAGTCAAAATACAGGTAGAAAATGTTGAAGCCAGCAAATCTTAATCATTTAAAGATTTCATGATTCTAACCAACCTCTCAATATTCATATAAAAGACCACCAAGAAGGGCTACGAGTTGGGGAAGTTTGGTAATCTTTCAATCATATAAAACGAGCAAACTTAGTTAAAATTTCAAGCTATTCCTTTAATCAATTAAAGTTGGCAGAAGAAATGTAACTATTTTATTTGCAGCTTCAAGTTCTCCGTCTGATGTTCTTTACACGGTTATTATCCATTATTGTTGTCCATTATATTGTATAGTACGATCAAATATCGCTACAAACACACAATTTAGAATGTTTAACAAAGGGAAAAAAGCAAAAAAAATTGTCCAATTCGGGCCGACAATGACATTGTTTACCCTTTGCACTATATGCTGTAAACTACTTCACATTGTAGCTGAAACCACCTCAAGCACACACAAAATTAAAACATATCAGAGATTATAAAGTCGAACCTAATTGTTGAATAATAGAACATATTCTTAAAGAAAGGGTCAGAAATACTTTTTAAATAAACAATCGGGTACATTGAGATCATCTAGGATAAGTCCAAAAAACAAACATAAAATGACATGCATGATACAAAAACTCCCAATCCCACCCCGAAATAAATTGATAAAATAATTTTTAAAAAAACTCCTCACCAATTGATCCCGAAATCAGTTTAACCAGTAGAAGTGAGGGGAAAAAATTCATTTTTGTACACAATTTCATGAAAGAAAGAAGAAAAATATTCTCCAGCCAGGAAATTATCTAAAAGGAACCGTTAAAATACAGTTTATACATTGAATTTGGTCAAACACGTGGAACACCGAACTTGAATTCTTGAAATGGCAATACAAATAAGAATAGCTTTAAACCCAGATCAAAATATTAGTAACGAGAAATAAAAATCCGATCTTGATTGAACCCACTTCATTTTTATGGAAGAAAAACACAAATACCACCCCCACAAAAAACAAAATAAAAAAGAATTTAAGGAAAATTACACTCAGTGCACCAATCTATCTCATAAAATTCCAATTTTGTATCATTCAAATCCAAAATTAAAATTAAAAGAAAAACTTACATAGAAGGAGAATGAATAGTTGAAGCCATGAAAACCCTGTGAGATCTGATACGAGCATCAGGAAAGGAAGGCATCTTGTGAGGCGAGAAGCTAAGTTTCAGTGCCATTTTCTTTTCCAAATTACTGGGCAAAAATAAGAATCAGAAATTTTGTTGCTAGAATCAATAGAAGAAGCAAAAGGCAAGAAGGCAAAGGGAGGGAAGGAGGAGGAAACGCAGAATACAAGTGCAAGGTGTAGAGAGACAGACGCACTAAAATAAAGGCAATGTGGCGGTGGAAAGACAAGGCCGATTCAATAAATGCCCACAGCTTTCAGGTACAAAATTTGATTGGCGTTTTACAATTGGGCGATGGTTCCTATGAAGAGAATAACAAATGGGTCCTTCCATCGAGGTACAGTACAATAGAGCTACAAGCCTGCAACAGTGTTGGGTCAAGTTTGGGTCCAGGATTTTTGCCACGAATATTTAATTTCTAATAAAAAGAGGAAGGAAAGTTTACTATTTATACAAAAGTAAATGAATTCAATTTTATTATGCATGATATTATTTTTTATTTTCCATTTTATTTATGTCAAACAAATATTCTTCCACACATCATCCCACTAACATTAAAAAAATAATTATGTCAAACATATATTCTTCCACACATCATCCCACTAACATTAAAAAAATAATTATGTCAAACAAATATTCTTCCACACATCATGTCACTAGCATTAAAAAAAAAAAAAATTTTAGTAAATATAAACTGGCATGAGCAAAAAAAAAAAAAAAAACTCTTTATGCATGACCTTTAAAAAAAAAAAAAGTCTCCACATAGTTCGGAGAGTTAGCAAACCATGTGCGGAGAGTTGACAAACTCTCCGTACAGTGCGAAGTAAAAAAAAACTCTCCGCACAGTGCAGAGAGATAACATTCTGTGCGGACTCTCCGTACAGTGCAGAGTAAAAAAAGCAAAAAAAAAAACTTCATATAGTGCGGAGAGTTGGCAAACTCTTCGTACAGTGTGAAGTTTAAAAAAACTCTCCGCACAGTGACTGTCACGTGCGTTGCACGAATTTTACATTTATCGTATTTTTATTAGTGTATGAATTTTAGTTTTTTAGAAAGTTTTTGAAATAATATCTAGAAATATTTTCACGATATAAGAAAATAATTGTAAATTATTTTTACAATTGTATAACAGTATTATGTCATCTAAAAAAATATACTTATATATTTCATACTTGAATAAGAAATATACGAGATTATAGAAATTATATACAAATTATTTTGCTTGTATTCTTTAATAGTGTTGATATGATTAAATTGAGTGTGAATATTATATTTCTAAATTTTGTGTAATTCAATATTGGAAATTTGAAGATTCAGCATCATATTCATATGCATTTATATTTTGTGTTTCATATATATTTAATATCTATTTTATACTTATGTTGAAAAAATAAAAATTTGAAATTTTTTTTAAATTCGGTTTGATAAGAAAATGTACGACGTTCTGCATTCTTGATATTTGTAAGTGTAAAAATAAGTATATAAAAATTTAGTAAGCTGCAAATACAGTAGGCAACATATATGGTAAGTTGCAAATACGATATGCAGCATATACGATTAGCTACAAATACGGTAAGATGAAAATACGGTAAATTGTTTGCAAATTCGGTAGGCAACATATACAGTTAGTTGTTTGCAAATACGGTAGACTACAAATACGATAAGCTGCCTGCAAATACGGTAAGCTGCATATGTGGATTTATAATTTGTTATAAATGTATAAAATTTATTTAATATTGAATTTTTTAAGTATTAAATATTATAATTCAATATTGTTTCCTTTTTTATAATTGTATTTTCGAGAGTTAAAAAATGGTTATGAAATTACTAATTTTTAAATGTATTTTTTTGTTGAAGATAAAAATGATTTTTTTATGTTATCTTTAAAAAAATTTTATTGTAATTTTATTAGCGTAATAAGAAGATTTATTATGCATTTTTATTTTTTGCATTTTGTGAAGAATTTTGTTTATGCCGATTGACAAATATTCTTCCATACAAGCATCATGCCAACAACATAAAAATAATAAAAATAATTTTAGCATATATAAACTACATGAGACAAAAATAAAAAAATCTCCGTACATGAGCAAAAAAAAAAGACCATGCAAAGTGCGGAGAGATGACAAACTATCTCTCCGCACAGTGTGAAGAGAAAAACAAAACTCTCGGGACTTTATTTGCAAGTTCCAAGAGGCATTTTCTCAAACAATTTTTGAGCAATGCATTGAACACTTTAATTCCTGGTCTACAACCCGAAAGTATAATTTCATTGAAAATTGTATCCGATTCTAATGTCCAAAAGTTGTTATTAAATAAGTGTAAAATATTGAATTTGGGTGGTACCCTAGAGCCTCTATTTGTGAAAGCAATGCCATGGTATTATCAATATCCCCTTATTTACACAACTCACATATTGTTTCATTGTATGAACCACGAGAAAGCTCCTTTTCAATACCGTAAATATGATTTGCATGCTCAGAAATTGAGCTGTAACTGGAATTTAAAGAAGACATAATTGATTTTGAGCCATATTTTTCGACTCTGTTTAATTGTATATACGAAAAATTTACAATCTTGAAATTTGACTTTGTTCGGTAATTTGTTGTCAAACGACCCCTCGGGTTATGATGTAACCCCGGTTCTATTATTAATCAACATTGGCCATATGATTGATTAGTATATCGACACAATTATCGAGACAACCCAATCCACATTCCTATGGACCGTTAGAAGCAACCTATTGTTAATAATGTTGCTCACGGTTCGTCCCATTTCCTTGGAGGGTTATGGTATTAATTTGAAGCCCATTATTTTGAGTCGAGCCTTGTTTAGTCCACTAAATAACCCTAACCTAACTTACATTGTTTGGTCACTTGCTTGGCTTATATTCTTGGCCTTTCTCTCGGCCTCCATATGAAGAACGCCCAATCTCTCTCTGTGACTGCTCCTCTCGGCTTCTCCTCTTTCATATGACCTTTGTGGTTTTCTTGTGGGCATATTATTGTTTTTTATCTTTTCCAAAAAAACTAAAATTCATACAGTAATAAAAATATGATAAATACAAAATTCGTGCAACGCACATGATAACGACTAGCTATATTGTAAATTACATAAAGCCCCACTTTTAAAGATTGCATTTCAAAAATTAGAATTATAGTTTATATGTACAAAAATCAGATGATTAGATAATATTTTAATATTAAATAATAATATTATAAAATTCAATTAATTATATGCTCAAACCCCAAACCCTGATATTAATTTCCATCCTCTCTTCAACCCACTCTCTCTCTACTCTACTCTACTCTACTTCTTCTCCTGTCTACTTCACCTTCGTTGCCAAATGCCTAGATGCCAGAGTAGCACTACACGAGACCAAGTGCCGTTGTCAACAAGGCTTCTCTAAGTAGTATCATGAGCAAAAGCTTCTCGTAAGGTCGGCAAGGCTTCTCTACTGTAGTGCCGCCAGTAGTGACATCATCGTCGCTACGTAGATAAGTCGCACGTTGAGGTGCCTCGTGCAATGAATGGTGATTTTGGTGTTTACGTGTTTTAGCTATTTTTTTGTTGGTTGAGATGGTGGTGGAGGATCGACAGTCGATCGAATGGCGTGGATCTAACAGTGGCATTGTTGGATCTAGGGGTGGTGGTGGCTTTGTTAGATATGGAGGTGACAGTGGCATTGATTTTGTTAGACTGACGGTTACGGTGATTTTTGTTGATATAGGCGATCGTGGTGGTGGTATTGGTGACAGATTGAGGATTTTTTTATTTTTTTGTGGGGTTGTGTGCCGTGGAGTGGTAAGCTATTAGAGGTGGTAGTGGTAAAGGCGGAGGTGGCAGGCGGTGGTGTAGCTGAATAGCTAGTGAGGTGGGATGGGAAATGGATAGTAGTTGTGACCAATTATTTGATTAATTGTAACCATAAATTAGTTAATATATAACCAATTATTTTGTTGATCGTGATCAATAAATTAATTATTTTGTAATCAATAAATAATACATGACATAAAAAATGTTGTGATCCACAATTTACTAAGTTATGATCGAGAAATTACTTATAATTTGTAACCGTCAAATAAGTTATAACTTATAAATTTTTTGATCTGTGACCATGACCTATAATTTTTTTTATTAGTGACATAGAAATATTCGTGATTTGTAAAATTTTTGATATGTGATCCAGAAATAATTCATATCCAATTAATTCTATAATTTGTGACCAAACTGTATAAATTTGTGGCTTTAATATTTAATTAATAAAAATATTTTTTAAATTAATAATTACATAAACAAATTTTAATAATATCTAATTTTTAAAATTTTAAACATTATTTCTTAATTTTGAAATTGTTAGAGTTAAAATCTTATATTTGAATTTTTTCCAACATTATAATATAAACTAGCTTGGGCTCCACTTTAATAAACTTTTGGAAAAAGTATATTTTAACATAATAATCATTGAAGAATATGTGTGCATGAAAATAAAGAAAATTTGAGATTATGTGTAATGTTATTTTATTGAAAAATGTGTGCATGAAAATAAAGAAAAAGAAAAGTGTATTAAAGTAAAATGGAACTCAAATAGGGGCTAAAACTTTTGGGAAATGAGCTTTCGAATAGTGATTTTTTAAAGGGTGTTTGGTTAAAAAGTAGAGAAAAAAAGTATGAATTTATGTGTAGAATATTTTATCGTGAGAATGTGTGGTTGAAAATTAATTTGAGAAAAAATGATTTCTATTTTAATTATTATCAAGCAGGAGCTTACTGGGTAGGTTGAATTTTGTTCGAGCCATAATGGTTATGATTGGCACATTGACACTTGACTACCTACTCTCAATCAAGGTTATATGAATCAAATCAGTTAGATAAAAAAATATATGAGATCAAACTTGAAACTCGATCTAATTATAAGTAATAAATAAATAAATAAATAAATAAAATGAAAACATTTTAAAATATCATTAGATTGATCGGTTCATAAAAAAAAAATTGTTTTTATTTATTCATCTTACCTCAAGTTCGATGGACACTTAAAACCATGATTTCATGTTCGAGTTAACACGAGCAGAGGAGAAAGAAACTTTTTAAAGAAGCAATTTGTTAAACATAGAATGGGTGTTGATCTAGCAGTTTAAATAAATTATTATACAATTGACCTTAGAAATATTTCCATTTGCAGAACTAATTGTACTACTTTATAACGATGCTCTTCTAACATGAATTTAAGTAGAACATTGCAACGTCATACCAACATGTATATATCAATTTTAAATGCCAAATTCACTTCGACA